ATATAGGAGAGAATGGAATAATATGTTCTAAAGAAAAATATCCCACAAATCTGAGCTTAATTGTATGTGAATAAAAATGGGCATTAAATAATAAAGAGGTATTTGAAATATTCCTAGAAAGAAAATCAGAACTGAAATGATTATTTATTTCATGAACACACCAAACAACAGAAATGAAGGACAAGTCGATAAATGCAGTAAGCAAGAATCGTAACAGCAACAGAGTGTCAACACAGAGACCAGTAAGAGATTTTTTTTCTGAATGTATACAAGGTGTGGAGGTACAGGTAACAGTGAAGAAGGAAATAGGGGGCATTATGGACAGAACCTGCCTATGGGTGAATCAATGGTTTTTTTTGTGGAACTACATTGTAACATGGGAGAGTAAATAAAAGGGGGGAAGTTCAGGGGATGAGAAATGTGTGATATGCAAAAGTTAAATCAAGAGCCAGGGACGAGGAGAAGTTGATCTCTGTGATCTCAAAAAGAAGTGCTTACAGAAAAGTGAGTGAGGAGGAGGGGGAAAAGTTTTAAAAGGGAAGAAGGAAACGAAGTTTATTTTGGTAGTGGGAGGGTTCCACTGATGAATGTTCTTCTGGGTGAAGGAGCTGGTCTGTGAAGGGAGATGAGGACCTTACCTTATGTGTGGTGTGGGGGATTTGGTCCTTGAAAAGCATACTTGTCCTATATTGGGAGAGAGAGTTGTTGGAACCCCTAAGGACAGCTGGCCCTTTGGGGAATGAGGGAACATGGACTCAAGGAAAAGACTTTGAAACAAATATGAAAGGGAAAAAGGTGACCAAAGGATGACATAGATTAGAAGTGGACAGCATAATCAGAGAAGTAGTGGGGAAGGAGCCCCACAATGAGGCAGTGTCTGCTCTGACACCTGCAATAACTGGCATTGTTCTAGGAATGAGGCAAAAAGGAAAAGGGGAAACCCTGCAAGGCAGTGTCAGAAAGCACATAGAAAGGAGAGCATAGAATGGATACCTTCAAATCTTTAATTGCATAAAGAATACAGAGAAAAGAAAGAGGCCAGATAATTATTAAGGTCGGGAACCAGAGGATAAGGGTCTAGAGTACACACAAAGAGAGAATACATAACAAAAAGAGTAAGAGAAATTCTATTTGGAAAGGGGTTCAAAACAGAAATTTAAAATCTAATGAATAGTACTAGATGAAGAGAATCTACTTGACTGGAGTAGGGAGGGAAGGACAGGAGAAGAATTTCATAACCAAATAAAAACAGAAGGGGAAAAAAACTAATAAAACCTCAAAAGGAAACAGGAAACAAATGAGTGAAGGAGATCAAGAGTAAAGGGAAGGGAATCTATGGGAACAGGGTCATCTTAAGAAAAAAATATTAAAGTAATTGACGGAATATAATGCTGTGTTTGTGGCAGAAGAGAGAAAGAATCATGACTTTAAAAACAATCTTAGAGACAGATGGAAGAAAATGTAAACCTAACTCATAACTTTAAATATGAATGGATTAAACAATCCAACAAAATGAAAAAGAGTTACAGATTGGATAAGAAAACAAAACCCTACAATCTGTTGCTTACAAGAATGGGTTCAATACTTCTGCTTTTTTGTATTTATTTATCATTTCTCTGTGCCCTAACACCTCATCTATTTTTGTGAATGTACTGTGTGGCACTGAGCTATATGAATATTTTTTTCAATATTCTAATTCCAAAACATGACTTATCTCTTGCAAGTCTAATATCTCTATCAGTTTGTACAATCTATGTGTGTCTTTTTTAAATAATATTTTATTTTCCCAACTACATATAAAAACAATTTTAGCATTCATTTTTCATTTTAAATTCCAAATTATTTCCCTCCTTCCCTGCTCTTTCCCCTCCCTGAGACAGTAAGCAATTTGATGTAGGTTATACATGTGCAATCATGTAAAACATATTTATATATTAGTCATGTTGTGAAAGAAAACACACACACACACACACACACATACACACACACACACACACACACACACAAACCACCAAAAAAAAATAAAGTGGAAAAAAGTATGCTTCGATATGCTTTTGTCTTTCTCTAGGAGTAGACAACATTTTTCTTCATGAGCCCTTTGTAATTGTCTTGGGTCATGGTATTGCTGAGAATACCTAAGTCATTCACCTTTGACCATCATACAATATTGCTGCTATTGTGCACAATGTTCTCCTGGTTCTGCTCATTTAAATTTAGCATCACTTCATGTAAGTCTTTCCTGGTTTTTTTCTGAAATCATCCTGTTTACCTTTTTAAAAAAATGATTTTAAAAATCTCATTTAATTTATACAGTTGTTCATTTTTGTTTTTGTTTTTAAGTTACAAGGAGGTACATTGAAGTCCTGAGAGGTACAACTTTTTTTCTTAGGAAGTTAGGGTAGAGTGGTGGACATGAATTCAGAAAAAAATTTCTATCCTCCTTTTTATTTTGTTATGTCTCAATCTTAGAAGCTTCAGTTCATTAAGGAAATAATATGGAATGGAAGCAGTATTGTGTAGTTATAGTCACTCTATTTCCTGAATCATGAGGCCTAGGTCTATTCCTTACCCTTTATATGTTTAGTTATTTCTAAGGCCAGTTCATCCTATGTCTGCTTCTGAGTCCCATCTACTACTTTGGGCAATGGCTGGCCTTAGGGGCCCATAGATCTCCTCTGCTAGTGAAGGATTGAGTCCTGATAGGTATAATTCTTTCCCAGAAAAGACAGTCTCCTTGTGTGCAACATCTTTCCAGAAGACTACTATTATAAGGTCTAAGGTACTTACCACAGGATCCCCACCCAATTTCTTTAGTGGTACCTTTTTTTGCATACTTTGGAAGCAAAACATGCCATTCTATTTCCCCTACCCCCATTTTTTCCCTCCATTACTTCTACATTTGAGAAAAACACATATTGATTTAGCATTTTATGTTTGATTCAATTCTGTAACCGATTCCATTCTATGACTGCCTGATCCATGTTTCTTTATCTCTGAGTTAAGTTCTTCTAGAAGTTCATGAGCCCAGAAGTTCAGTTTTCCTCTCTATTTAAGTTCAAAAGTTGTTTCCCTATAAATCACTTTACTTTAAAGAAAACTGTTATATCTGTACCACTAACTGCCCTTGTACAAGTAGAAGAAATCTGTTATCCTCAAAGGGTACAGGTAGGTGCAAGGGAGTGTGGCCTGTTATCTCTGCAACACTGGCTGTCCTTCAAGAAAGTCTGATCTGTTATCACTATGACACTAACTGGATATGCAGGTGGACACCATCAGTGAGTTTTCCATAGCAACAAGATTAAAGGAGGGACACTCCAGACTTCATCATCAATCATAGTGTTTTCCATTTCTGATTCTTCCTGTTCTTTGTTCTCTTGTGCTTCCCACAACTGTACAAAGGCAAGTAAGCCTCACCTTGTCTGCTTTTGGCCTACTGAGGAACTGAAATAACCCTTCTATTGGTAATTGCTAACCTTACCAATAAATTGAACATGTTAGGAACTTTGTGCCTCAGTTTACCTTACATTTCAATCATGACACATAGTATAGGTCTCATTTGTTGGATGATTTTAAAGGCTAGGCATAATGGCACACACCTGTAATACCTAGTACTGGGAATGCTAAGACTGGTGCATTACTTTAGTTCAGAGCTTCTAAGCTATGATATGCTAAGCCAACAATGTCTCACACTAAGCCATGAGTTAATAAGCTGATTATCTCTGAGGGAGTAGGTGAGGGAAACCAGGCTGCCTAATGAGAGGTAAACTTGACAAAATTACAGATAGACCAGGTCAATGCTCCCCAAACAATCAATAGTGGGACTGAGTCTCTTGGTAGACCCTGTACTTGTAGGCTGGGCAATATAGGGAGACTCAGTCTCCACCCTCCTTTCTCCTCAAAAAAAAAAAAAGGGAGAGGGGGTGTTGAAAATTGCTGTTCCTTCTCTGGCATCTTCAGATCCTCTGTCTCCAACTTGCCCGCTTCTTGTTTCTGAAACTTCCCATTCTCCTATGATCCCCACAAAAGATATCGGTTTTACTTTGTTGGTAATTTGTTTTATGCCCTTTTGATTGTTTGATCCATTTGATTTTTCTGGTTTCCTCACCTAGACACAGTGCCTGGCACCTAGTAATCACCCAATAAATATTTATTAACTAACCAGATAATCGTTAAAAAAAAAAAAAGGGATAACTCCATTGATAGTAACTACCTCATAGGGTTATTGGGAAGCCCAAAAGAGGTGATATTTATAAAAAGCTTTGCTAACATTAAGCCCCATAGAAATGCCAGTTATCTTTGTCTTCACCATCATTGTGCCACAGAGCTGATTGCTAAAGCAGGGATCCTTAAACTTTTTTGTGCCTTGGACACCTTTGTGCCTTAGACAGCCTGGTTAAATCTATGGATCTCTTCTGAGAATAATTTTTAAATGCATGAAATAGGATTACAAAGGAAACCAGCTTGGCATTAATGATTCAAAGTCAATTCCTAGCCCTTGATGATGAAGGGGATATATGTAATTGATTGGTTAAATGTACCAAGGCTTGCTTTGGAGATCTAATGGACAAGCTCATTTCCTTAGGTAGGGCTGTTGTTACCAACCTTGGTGTTATCCTATGAGCAAGGGACGTGAAGAGATACATCTATCAATGCATATGGCTATTTTGTCTATATCGTTTCTGTTGTTAGCCAGTAAAAGACAGGGCTGTTGCTGTTGTTGTTGTTTTCTAACTGCCTTGTTAATTGGATCTCACTGAATCCTGACTTTGCGTTACCTAGAACAAACATCATCACCGTCATCTTTGTTATTACTTTATGAGAACAGAGTGGAATATAACAACTGATAAACATTACCAAAATGTTTTTGCTTGATCATGTTCTGCTCTGTAACTCTTTAATTATTCAGAGTATGAAAAGGCACCTTAAAAACAGAATTAAAAGGAACCAGAGTGAATGACCCAAAATAGAATCATGTCACATTTCAGAAGTTTTTACTTAACCTTAGAAAATTCTGAAGTTGATCAGATGTAGCACTCTCTTAAGGTGGGAATTTTCCAAGAAAGATTCAGATTGTTCACATAAAAAGCAGTGCCAATGTCAAACATCTGGTAAGAGAAAAAAGGCATATTTATATTTAGCTTTAACCCAGACTTTGGTGGAAAGTTGGATTAATGTTTATTTGCAACAACATATGTTCATTTTGAGTTTTTGTGGTTGAGAAGAAATATTTTAGGGTAACATCCGTAAGGACTATAGAAATCAGAAGCAAACAACATTTGTTGTCGCATTCCTAAAGAAGAATCAATATTTATGGTAAGTAAATATTTATAAAAACTCTATAAGTTATGGGATTCATTGACACTAAAATATTTAAATATCCATAGAACATTACTTTTTAACATGAAAAGGCATTTTTAGTGCAAACAGATTCAATTCAGATATACACACTAAATTGAATATGATTCCCTCTACCCGTAACATTTCCAATTATTCAAGAATATATGTGAGTAGACTGGTCTTTTATATGCATCTGTCATAAAACAGAGTAGGCCTACATCCTAATGTAACACATCAGCATTTCATATCCTGGGTCAGACCATGACGGATTTTGAGCTAGAAAGGACCTTAATCTACAATTATCCCTTACATTCCATGACTTTTCCCATCACGGTTTTGATATATCATAGGTCAGCACAAGAAATTAAATGGGAATTTTGAAGAAGCTATAGACAACACACGAAGGCCAACAAATGACAAAGAAAAAGTTTTGAAAATCAGAAATGCATAAAATATATATATGGTATTGTGTAATATCAACATATTTTATATTTTAATACCACAGTAATTCCGACTTTTTCTCTAGTACAAAAGGAAGGCCAAAAAATTTTACATTGATTTTCTGGATTATAGGGATGCTATGCTGCTAACCCCGTGATGTGGAAGAGATTACAATATTTCAACCTCCCCTTCATAAGGAAACTATGATGAATACAGAATAAGTGACTTATGCAAAGTCACACATAAAATAAAAGATCTAGTATTCAAATTCTAGTTTTAGCTCTTACAGATAATGCAGAGTTGGCTTTCCTCATTGTATCTAACATTTTTATATTGCTTTGCAGTTTATAAAAACTTTTGAGTACATAATCTCATTGTAGCCTCCTAATAACCCTGAGGAACTAGTAGGAAGATTTGATTATACCCACTACCAGATAAGTTTCAGGGGAGTTGTGACTGCCTTAAGGTAATACAGATAATAGTTATAGAGAGGTGCGGCTAGATGGCACAGTAGCTAGAGTGCCAGACCTGGAGTCATAAAGACTCATCTCCCTGAGTTCAAATCTGGCCTAAGACACTTATTTAACTGTGTGACCCTGGGCAAGTCACTTAACACTGACTGCCTCGGTTTCCTCATCTGTAAAATGAGCTGGAGAAGGAAATAGCAAACCACTCCATTACCTTTGCCAAGAAAACCCCAAATATGGTGATGAAGAGTCATACATGGCTGACAAAAAACTCAACAATATGTCTTCTGACTTCAAGTCCAATCAGTTCTACAGAGTAGAGAACCACTTGTGTCTTGAAACTTCAGTTCCCTATATCCAACATCCCAAATGAAACTTCCTTTTGCCTGCTTTGGAACAAGAGAATCACAAATCTAGAGGTGAAGTCTGACCCTCTTGTTTTACAAATGAGGAAAGTGAGGCTCAGAAAAGTGAAATAACTTGCCCAAATCACATATAGAGTAAGTAGTAAAACAATATTGTAATCATTTCCAAATGCAGCTCTGCTTCTACTGTAATCAATCAATTAACAAGTGTTTATTGAGTGCCCACTTTGTGTCAAGTGCTAGGGATTCAGATACCAAAATCTATCAGCATCTTCCCTTGAAAAGGTGATAATCTATACATGTGGCCTCCTCCAACAGAATGTAAGTAGAGAGGCTGATTCATTTTACCTTTTCTATCCCTAGTACCCAGGACAATGTCTGGCACATAAAAAGCACTTAATATAAATATTAATAAATACAAATATTTATTAGTACAAATATGAAATACAAATATTGTTGTTGTTTGTCCTTCATTTTTAAAGAGGAACAAATGACATCATGGGGTGATGTCTTGACTCTGGAGTGAATTGTATTTAAGTGAGGCAGAGTTACACAAAGTCCTCAGCCTCACTCTCATCCAGAGTCTTTGCAGTCCAGTGGCAAGACAAAAGTCAAGACAACTGGTGATGACCCGGGATGCAGCGGATGACTTTGGCATCTTCAATGTCTGACCAAGCTCTAAGTGCTCTACAGCACCTGCTTCAGTTGCCTTCATGGCCATTGGAACAAATTGTTCTAATGCATTATGAGGCTGAGGCCCATCTGTTACCCTCAAACTGGTTTAGCCTACCTGCTGAGATCGTTTTACCAAGGTGTAGCCACTGCTCATGCTACAGCTTCTTGAAGCCACAGGTGAGAGTTGGTGGAGAACCAAAGTTGGATGAGAAGCCCTTAAAAGGGCTCGGCAAACCCTCATGGTAAGGGTGCTAGTCCTTTTTGACTATATGGCATGTGTACTTTTCAAGACTTCATGATGTCTCCTAGTCTTATCTGCAGAGCTGGATCAGAATTCTCTCTTCTAAGGCATTCCGAATCCTGTCACTGAATACATTCCCTCCCAGAATCCATGCACAGCTCTGGGGCTTCAGCTCCAGAATTTCAAAGCAGCTTGATATCAACTCCCTCCAGCATTCCAAAACTGCTAGTCATCTCTGAGATTGCTTGTTTTCATTCCTTTCCGAGTCTGGACTCCCTCAAAGAACTGCTTTCCTCCTTTGTAAACAGCAAAAGAAAGAGGGAGGAAACACTCTTTGGATAATGTGTGAAAACTGAACATCTGAAACAACCTCCAGAACAAATTTCCTCCAAACTTAGAAACTTTACCATTCACTTTACTCTTTCTAAAGGAGAGGAAGGCCCCCTTTGGCCACTGGCATTTTAGCTGACATCTGTGGGCCAGTTGTAAGTTCATTTAAATGTGATTTTTCTTTTTAAGATCAGCTTCAGCTCATAAACTGTCTTCTTTTACAAAGTGCCTTGGATACAGCATTACCTCTTATAAATCCAAGCTTATGCCAGAATAGAACTATCTGAATGACAAAGAGAAACAGAGTTTTCTGAAAATGAATTTAAAGTGATTTCTATCATGAATTTGTAAGGGACCATTCTTTTTAGAAGAATTCCACTGAATGTATACACAAGCATATGTCTATGCAGTGCCGGAAATATTTCCATTTCTATTCCCACAATCCTTTTCGATCTAGATGGAAGCTCAGAATAGATTTCTCTTTTTCTGGTTACATCAGTCTTTTTTTATGAATGGAGATAGGCTTTTTTAAATTCAATTTTAATATTTTTTGGCAGTCTAGGGGAATAAAAGTGTATGAAACTGTCATTATTATACTGACATTCCTCTCTCTTCAATAAGTTTGAGATAACCAGGCATGTCCAGAAGAGTCCTTAATTTTTTTTTTCTTCTAAAATCATCTATACCACCTCAAGGAGCTACCATGAGGCAATTAGTTATTCCCCATGAAGACAACATAAACTCAGTACTTAGCAAATCTACAGGTAACAATTTTGGCATCTGGGTCAAGTAGCACAGAGTTTGCATTCAATTCAACCTTGTAATTCATCATGTAAAAATGACAAGGGGTAAGGAGTGAACATTTATTTCATTGGTATAGAGAACTCTCTCCCAGGTGAGGAAACTCCCTTTACCAATACAGATCAGTTTCTCTGCAATGTATAGCCCTGCAGAGTTGCCTACAAGCACTAAGAGATTAAATGACTTCCCCGCATCTTTCAGCTTGTATCTGTAAGACAGTACTTGAACAGGGAAGCTAGGTGGCTCAGTGGATAGAGCACCATCCTTGGAGTCAGGAGGACCCAAGTTCAGATCTGGCCTCAGACACATAACATTTACAACTGTGTGACCCTGGACAAGTCACTTAACCCCATTGCTTAGCCCCCCCCAAAAAAAAAGATAGGACTTGAACCCAGGTCTTTGTGGTTATCCCTGTATCCACTAGCCATTCTGCCTCTTATTAAAATGACATCATTATGGTTGTAAATTTTGTTCAATGGGAGGGGAAATTAATTTCAGTGATGACACACACCTAGGTTTTCTTAAAAATGGCCAAATATATGCTAAATTCAATTATTTCCACATTGCTGGAATGAAATATGAAATTTTGGAGCCCTCTAAATTTTAGTGTTCTGGGACAAAGTAGCTAGGCTTACTTAAGTTTTAGGTACTTAAGAAAACTGTGAAATCAAACACTGATTCTGTATTTTATATTTGGTTACATTCTGTAATCTTATTCTGTATTTTACATAACAACCTAAGCCTTTTCTTTGTTTCTGAGTGAAGAATCTCATGAGTTCAAAAGTTCAATATTCCTCTCTGAAGTTAGATGCTGAGAGTTTAGTCTCTCTATCGATCACTTTTAATTAAAGAAAAGCTCTGAGCTAAGTTTAGAGGTTCAATACTCTCATAAAACACTGTAATTCTAAGGTAATTGTTATCTCAGCACCACCTACAAATCATTTTGTGCAAGGAAACTTGCTATCCCTCATAACTTCAGCTCCTGAGAAACTTCATGACATCTGTGTGCTATCTTTGAGGGCCTGAACTGGTACATTCTCACAAGACATACTGGCCATCTTTACCCCTCCTTGCCAATTAAAGATGGTCTTATCTCATTCCCAGGAGCTGGTGAGTCTGCTACCCCTGTTCCACTCTCAATAGTTTAGGGATGAAGTCCCATAACTGAGTCCTCGTAAATCAATAAAGCTTTCCTCTAAGACAGAAAGGGGTGGTCTTGGCCCTGTATATATGTGCAATCCCCTTTTCCTGATGTAATCAATTGTGTTGTCCTCATCTCCATGATGCTACCAACTCTATAACCAACTGTATTCTTTCCTCACCTGTCTAGTTCTGTTCTTTGTTCTAATCTTATAAAAAAGAAGCTGTGTCTCCTCTTCAGGGTCTTTTGGCTAACTGAGGCAGTCATTAGACCCATTTTATTACCAGGTTCCGACCCTGCTAATAAA